TGGTCTTGAACTCTTGACCTAGGGTGCTCCACCTTAGACTCCCAAAGTGCTGGGATTACAGGTGTGAGCCACCGTGCCCAGCCCAAAGTCTGTGCTTTTAATCAATCTGTTATATTGTCTTTTTATAAAAATGTCAACTTTGGCATTGGTTAAATTCTCAACTATAAATGAGTCTTTTTCGATACACTTTGTTCTGTTCTATCAAACAACTTGTCCGTATCTGCACCAACATGTCTTTATCAAATGTTTGATAGCTGCTAAATTAAGTCACTCTTATTGTTCTTATTTTTTTAAAAAAGAAAACACCTTTCTTTATCACTCAGCCATTTATTGTTCCAGATGAATCTTATTAAATTTTAATAACTCCTTTCAAAACACTTAGATTTTTATTAGAACTGCAATGAATTTATACATTAGCTTTAGGATAATTAGTAGCTTTAGAAAACAGAGACTTCCACTCAAGGGCACATGTTTCTTCATTTGTACAGGTCTTCTTTCCTGTCCTTCAGCAAATGTTTACACTTTCCTTTATAAAGACTTATGTATTTAAGTTCAGTCTGAATACTCAATGAGATATACGTTTCATGGAATAAAAGTATTTGAAAACTGCTGCAATAAGAGGTATAATTTTAAAGGCACTGGACTGCTAGTCATTTGGGAACACTCACTATTGAACTTTGTAACTTTGAGTAAACCAATTTAACTCTTTCAGGTCTTAATGTTTTCCACTATGAGACTGTTGGGAGAAATGTCCATAAGAGCATGTAGAGTTCTAGAATTTTCCAAAAGTAAATGCTACGTTAAAGGAGAATAGTTAATTTCCTCTCATTTTTGCCTGTATTTTTTGGTTCTGGTGATAAACATATGTACATTTATTATAATACTTAAAAATATAGAATAAAAAATAGGATTTTAAAGTTATTTCAAATAACTAATGGAGATAATTATTTATTTCAAGTAAGTACCCCCTCCCCACCAGTGGCAACCTTTGCCAAACCTTATTTCCTCCTAGTATTTTTCTTTGCACGGTTGAGAACATATTGCATATTCATTATTGCATCCAAGATTTTTCTTTTGACTTGCATTATATGTGTAAGACACCAGAATATATCACCCCATTATATGTGAGAGCCCGGGAAACAACATCCCAAAATCTGTGACTTTGGTATAAGGATTATTTAGAGCTGAAGACAACTGAGAAGAAGTAGATAAAAGAAAAGCTCTTTGCCCTCTTGCTATTTTCCCAAAAGCAGGGCATAAATTTACAAAGGTGTCCCTCTTCCGCTTTCTACCAGGGGGATCAAAGGTTGATCACCAGAGATGACTTCAGACCAGTACCAACCAGGAGACAGCACCAGATGAATCTGCATAATAAACTGTACTAAACAGCATCTATCTACCATACCATAGCCTTCCCAGAACTTGCTGCCCTTGAAGACTCAAAGTCCTTTTCCTTTGCCCTGTCACTTCACTAAAAATTGAACCGTTCTTTGTTGAAAACATTATATAAGCTGAAATTCTAAACCATATCTTTGAGATTTACTCATTTTCCCTGGGTATGTCCTATGTATACATAAGATATACATGTTAATAACTTCTGTTTGTTTTTCTCTTATTAATCTATCTTCTGTTACAGGGGGTCCTCAGCCAAGAACTTAAGAAAACTAGAGGAAAAATTATTTCCCACACCAACATCATAAGGATGTTCCTATGCCTTTTAGAACATTTTGTATACACAATTCTTAAGGGTATACAGTATTTAATAAATTGACTCTATGGTAATTTATTTAACCAAGCTCTAATTTTGAATATTTAAGTTGTCTCCAATATATTTGTAAATAAATCTTTGTTTGCATTTCTGATTTTTTCAGTTAGAATGCTAAAAGTGCACTTCATTGAAAATTAAAGTGATAATATTTACCTAGAAAATGTGTTACCTCCAGGAAGTGGTAAAAACAGGAAATATAAAAAGACTTGACAATTAAAGCATTTGCATGAGCAATCTTGCTTTGATATGTTCATTGTACTCTTGGAGCTTTCTAAGATGGCAATTTCATCATCTACTTTCTGGTTATTTCTCCTTTCAAACCCTAAAAAGAAAATCAGTCTTTTTATATTGCAATGTCTCCAATTCTCAAGTTTTCTTGGATTTTATCTCCGTATGCTGGAGTACATGCTCACATATTATTTTGAAGTGAGGTGTAAGGGTGGAGTCTTTGAGCCCTTATAAACCTGAGGGTGTTCCTCTTGCCCTCC